CTCCTTGAATTTCCGCAAAGTAGCATGCGCGGGCACTGAGTGTTTTATATTGCCATATTTGGCCGCACACCTCCCTTTAACGCGTCGTTATCACTAATTAATTCGGAATTTAAGGCTGGTCGGTTTCTTTGTTTCAGAAAAAGTCTGCAACGTTCATAATTTCTTCGCGGTATTCGCAATCATATTCTGAGTCCCATATTTCGAAATGACAAGGACGGAGATATATATTTAGGGTCAATTTTTGGCCGCGTGTCACCTGTCCTTCTCCGAAGACGAGATCAAGCACATTGGTGCTTAATAAGAAAGATCATCAATTCTCACTCATTCTTCAAGTTATCCTTAATAAATGCCATTAACCCGAAAGCTATTTGGGTCGGTCTTTTTACGTGAAGGGAATGGACATGATTTCTTGCATTTGCATGGTTTACATGTCGGGGAATTCAGTGATATATATTGGATACAGATTTTTATCAACGTTTAAATAAAACTTTTAGTGTTACTTCTTAGACGTGCTTACATAAGTATACACATCTTTTTACCAATGCTAACAATTATTCGTTCAAAAACCGTGTCATGTATAGTGAAAAATAACATATTGCGTGTTAATAACTCCTTTAACGGTAAAAAGATTTAATCCCAACTCCATCCGCTATTTTTAAGCGGCTTATATATCGCCTAAATACGGCAACCTCTTGACAATTCCGTTCGCACGAGGTAATAGACCGCTTGGGAAAATGAATTGTTGCAGTGCTACAGACTCCGCTCGAGCCATTGTTCGCGGGACCTTTACAGATATACTGAGATAAGACGACAGCGTTCATTACCCGTTTTCTGATTAGATTTTTTCCGTCACATACGCAGAAAGAAGAAGTTACTTGCAAAGAGAAGCAGTCAGCAAATAAACTCCACTAAAGCTGATGGTGGCTCAGGATCTTCGTGGCAGTCTGTGGGGGAGGCCCATGTTCAGCAGTGGACTTAAACAGGCTGAAATGATGATGATAAAGATGAACTGTTTAGAAACATGAAAATTCCGTTTTGAGTGCATTTATTACTAGATTGGTAATAAATACCATATTTGATAATGTGTTATGATAAGGGAAGTAGAATAAGAGTCACACCTGTCAAAAGAAAATAACTGTGTCGTGTGTACGGCTTTATTACAATTTTTTGACAAATATTTTTTTCTTTACAGGTAAGTTTTGATAAACATCGATTACCGAACGAATACCAATGTGGCACTGATACTTAAAAAGGTACAGTTATCTTCATACCGAGTTTTTTTTTATATTTATCACGATTACATAACAGACGTGCACAAATTATTCTAATCATACCTTATAAACGGCTTAGAAAGAAGTTTGACAAAGTTTATACTAAGCAAACTTCATTAGAAATCATTATAGGTTTATCCATATATATATACAACGTTTCGTTACCATCGCGACAATAAATCTACCGTCTAACGCTACTTGCCAATAATCATAAAAAATATTAACGTTAAAAAAATCCATAATTAAAAAAATATATTTTTCAAACAAACTAATTAAGTAAAAAAGAAACAAAATTTGTAACACCCCCTATACAACTACAACTGACTGATTCATACATTCCGAGACTTTTCCTTCTAACAGTATGTTTTGTCACTTTTAAATTCATTCAACCCATTCATATGGTTTGTGACCTTTACAAATGAACTTTACGTTACAGTAAGGGTGTTCTAAAACTCTTTGTTTTGGAAAGTTTAATAACACTGTAAATATTTACTGCTAGCTTTTTAAATAAAGCTAAGTATTTTTTTGTCAAATGAGCATACAATAATTACCTAAAACCACCAGTTGAACTTTCAAACAATGTGCAGGGATTCTGCACCTTGGATGATAATTTCCTTCTGTTACGTGTATCCAGGTTTACGCTGCTGGTAAACCACAATTAGTTTCATACATTATCTGCTACATATAACCTTAGAAATAATATCTAAAGGAAAAGCGTAGTACTGGCATATATCATATTAAACAAGATTGTGTGAAATATATCATCTTATTGTAGGGTAAAAATGTACAATTGAAATAAATAAATAACACATTTACACGACGTTTAAATTTAAAAATATATTTGAACCACTTAAATTCAGTTTTGTATGGCGACTAATGGATTATGGAGATACAGGACTTCTTTCGTGGATATAAAACAGAACTCATTATTTAAAAAATGAGTTAAATACAAACAGAACAGCATCCAGCTAATGGAACAGAAACGACAGTGGTATTGTAAATACGGTACTTAAATATATTATATTTATAATTTTTACAACGGCCATGTTGTCCGTGTCGATATAAAGTCGTGCGTTTACGTAAGTATATTTGCATAGCAAGTTCTATCAAATCCAACAGCCCGCTATTAAAATCATGTAAAACCGTAGGGCCGGCTTCTAATTGAACCCCTCGTTAGTCTATGAATAGTAAAGGATAAATAATGGCCCCAGTAGTTGTCCATATCTGCGAGCTCCGCAATAAACCGCCACCGGCACCACCTGCTTCGCGAAACTTATTTATTCAACGGCTGTTACTCAAGTTATTGCTTATTAATAACTTTTCGATACACTTGCATCGATATAACAACAATATTTATGATGCAACCTCATTACATTCTTTATTAAAAATCTACTTGTGAAAGAATTCATTTTTAAATCAATCGCGACGTTTCTTAATTTTATGCGGTTGTGTTATAATTTGATTTATTTCAATATAATTAACTGACAAAAAGTTGTAACGCAACGTGCTGTAGTTTAAATTGATATTATATCTTTTTATAGGCGTATCATGTGCAAATATTTTGTTTTAAATTGCCTGTCGCAATTCCACCGAATTGCGTTGCAGCGATAAATTGAACATTAACAGAACATTATTACAAGTAAAGAATATTTGTAATAGTTTACCAATATTTATTCCAATCCTTTTGCAGACTTTACCTAAAGGTACTTTTCCTATAGTTCGATACCAGATAAATATCAGGTAGATTATGTCACCTTTGGAAATACTCGTCGCGTAAAAACCCAGACTCCACGACACACGAAGCCTAGCGAATAAGACAAATTATTCGATTAATAACTAGTAGCCTAAAGTCGATGAAACGGTAGTGCAGGTGCTAAGCTACTAGCTACGGCGTCGGGGATCGTGCGTTCGATTCCCACACGTTACAAGTGTAATTGTTCCGGATCTGGGTTTTTGTTATTAAGGAGCGTTGACGCGCGGCAGGCGGTCGGTCGTAAAAAATCAAGACAAAACCACTTATAATATGACCACTCCTAGGTGTATACATATACATCTAATAAATTCTCGTGTCATGGTGTTTGTAATTGAACTCCTCCGAAACGGCTCGACCGATTTTCTTGAAAATTTTTGTGCATATCGGCCAAGGTGGAGAATCGGACAACGTCTATTTTTTATCCCCCTAAATGTTAAGGGTGGTCCACGTCAAATATTTTTTTCTACCCTACAAATTTATACGGCAAGACAACGTTTGCCTGGTCAGCTAGTTCATCTATATATTCATCCTCACTGGAACAGGAGGATGATGATGACGATGGTATATGATGATGAACAGTAGCTTAAAGTCCACCCTTTGTCTCTCTGCTGTTTATATTGTGCAAACTGGTTTAAAACTCGACCAGCGATATCCATTCGATGTGAGATGTTTTATTCCATTTATTTCCAGATAATATTTTCACAGTTTGACAAAAAAGCTGTTTAGATGTATGTTTATCAAATAAACTGTTGCGATTTTTCTTGATGATACAGAACACATTAAATAGATTAATAAAAAATATCTGTTAGATAGAAATTCGTTAAGATTTTATTCAGAAAATAACTTCTGATAAAATTTTATATAGTATAGTTTCTCAAGTTTACCGCTAACTGCTGCATGTAATAAATTTCACAAGCTTTGGGTTAAATGACATGAGCTATTCAAAAATCAAATTGCATTTTGTTAGTAAAAATGCGGGGTAATATTTCTCTCTTAATGTCAGCGATAAATCAAATCAGTCAATGCGAATCCAAATTATGTACAGATACCGACGTAAATATTCTTTTTTATATAACTTTACATGTGTAAAATATTATAGGTATGCCTTAAGTGTTCGAAAGATTTGATATCTTTCTGTTATCACAATGAAGCGGGTTATCAATTGTTACAAAATTAATGTAAATAACATAAATATAATATCTTATTTAATGCCTGCATTTCCGTTATTATTATTACAATGTAGGAAAAACGAAAAATTAAACGGTGGTGTAGATTCTCGATATTATCGTTTTGGGTAATAATGATTTTCTCTACATGTATCTTTCCTTGAATTGTTCGTGTCACATTGCATAATTTATTTATCAAGCCAAAGAAAACTTTTAATCATAATATTTTTGATACCGTGACATTTAAAATTTTTGTAGATAAATGAACGAAAACTTTCAGCACTGAGGGAAGCGAATTTGTTAAAACTTTACTCTTATAACTCTGATATCGTGTAACACTTACCAAACATGACTTAATTTTATCTTTCATACCGCATGCACGAAGATATTGTCATACTTCTGGTTGTCTGTTTGAAAAATAAAGAAAATTATGAGAAAAGATTCGTCGATTAGTCAAGCAAACTTAAACAACAGAACTCTACATCAACCAAGCAAGTTTCTACGATATAATTATTATACTAAACTAGCGGACTCGACAGACGTTGTCCTGTACGCATGACTTAAATCCGACAACTTATAAACACAACTTATAAATAAAAAAAAATTAAAAAAGTGTCCCCAATTGTGAATCTAAACCATTCTCAAATTGACTTGAAGACACACAAGAAATTTAAATTAAAATCAGTCCAGCCGCTTAGGAGTTCAGTGATATACACACGTACAGAGGAATTATATATATAAAGATAATGGCTGTTAAATCTTACCCACCCATTAAGCTGGGACAGACGTAATTAAGAATAGAAATCAAAAATGGCGCGAAAATGGCCGCGTCAGTTCCGCCAACCTCGTATGCGCGCTTGGGTTGGCATCCCTGTCGCGGGTCAACGTCCGTCCGCGGCCTGCACGCAACGCCTCTCCCAAGGACGATCGCCTTTCTACGTGGAACAGGTGAGGACGGGCCGCATTAACGCGCGATCAACATTCACCGGCCGCATTCCAGCGCTGAAAGCTTTCATTGAATCCTGCTCCAATAATTGGCGCGTTTCAGCCGCTAATTGACTGTTTTCGGCGTTTAAGCGCTTTTCGCTTTCTTCAAGTAGAGCGCGATCGCTCATGCGCTCCGTCCGTTTGACGGTGGCCGTTTATAAATGAATCCGTTCGATGAATTCGAATATAGAACGAAAGTTTAGTTCGGTTTCGTTTTACACTTTTCTTGGTACATTTATGAATGAGAGTGCCTTACACTTTTTAACGACGGTGTGTTATGTAGATTGTGACGAAGAAGACTATTTCTGATCAGAATATGTCGTCAATATTCAACATTTAATTGAAAAGTTTACATTCAAGAGTTTAATAAAGGTTTTAAGATTCAAGTGAATTTAAAATTAATACGGCTACACTGCAACGTCAACATAGTCAGTTGTGTAGAGATTTGCATATACAAGAAGATAAATTAAATTCCGTGTCTTAGAAAAAAGTTTCGTCGTTTTTAGATTTTTCTAAATCAGCGTCCTCAACGTAGGATGTGTGATAGTGCTGACTCTGCCTTAATAGCATTTGTTTATATGAATGCACAAGCACTGGAGTAGTAGGTTTCTTCAATTTGACAAGAACTATATTTCACCATGTTTATACATGTAGAAGTGAAGGAGAGAGTTAAAAATTTAGCAAAGAATGCAGCGCATCTTCTCTGCGCTATTTCTGGAGGGAGCGGATTTCAGCCACAATTCCCGAGCCTTGCGAATATTGTAACGTTGACCCCATAAGGCATTAACAATAACCCCGCGCTGTTCCAGTGTTTTCCTCGTTTCGCAACGTTTCCACACAAGAGCGCCGTACTGTTGGCTATTAGGAGTAATACGTCATAATGCAGCCGGGGACAGCGCCGTAGAAAGTGCGGGCGAGTCACGACGCGCGGCGCTGGGGAATCGCACAATAGCTCGGTTGTGTAATTACGTGTAATACGTGTAATAGGACGAACTGTAGACCGTTGCGATTTTGAAAATGGAACGGCAAGATGGCTCGCGCTTAGGGATCACAATATTTCCCGATAAATAATTAGGATTTATTCAAAAACTATAAGTGACATGGACACTTGACAGAGTGGTCGTGGTTGCGAAGACGGTATGTGATGCGTTTTCAACTTGGTCGGTCGTTTCCTCGATCTGTTAGTCGCATTACGAGTCAATTTCATCAATCGTTTCCCTAATCTGTTCGTAACATCACTAGTACACTGTTGTGGAAAATTTAACCTCAGTAAAGTCGGGGTCGGTACGGATCGGATCGAAATGGAAATGAATGCTTTTTTATCGCGTCTTTAATAAGGATGATTGAAAAACTATTAGAATGTTTCGATGGGGTGAAAGTTTAACAAATCGATACAGTACCTAAGGTATGTATTATGCAAATAAAAAAAATTATAAATTATCTAAATCCAGTAACTTATCACTTGAGATATTATTAAAAACAGAAACAGGGATAACTCATAAATAAGTCGATTTTTACTAACCAATTAATTGATTTTGGAAAATTAACACATCGTCAATTATATTGGCACTTACGAAGCTGATAACTTTTTTAATAATAAAATTAATAACCTTGAAGAAATTCAACTGTTATTCAATTATTTTGACGACAGGTGAAATGACTAAAAGACGGACTAAACTAAAGGAAAGACTAAATAAACGGACGACTGAATGCATATTTTACAAAAGGGACGGAAATTCACAATTTACTTTAATGACAGTGACAGTGTCAGGTGATATAGTAATGGTTTTAAATCGACAGAACTGCTTCTGTCATAAGAACGGGCAATTACATTCGGGGCACTAACACTACCTGACAAAAGACGGGCATAAAATAGAAGTATATGATATAAAGAGCTTTGTTCAGTTAGTGGGGTAACGGGAAATCCTCCATCATGAAAAATAAAACTTACGGTAATAAAACTTAACTCTCTTGTCCTTTGTTTATATTGTGAATAAAATATAGTTAATAATGTGTCTGAAATCATTCCCTATAAAACTGTTAAAAGCTGCAAATAGTGAGATAACATGCTAACGTTATCTCACTGCTGGAGCAACCATCGGGCGTTATATAAGATTAGTGCTCGATGGAAAGTAAGTAAAATACTAATACGGAAATCGGGGATGCTACGAACAGGCGATGCTAAGAATGAGGAAATACCATTTAATTTGACTATCATATAATGAATTACACAGTAAATACTCTGTGGAAATGCTCATTATGATTCAATTTTATGTTATATTAGCGCTCGTGTTCAATTGTTGTTTTTATTACAGTATTGATTGCCGGTTAAAAATAATAATTTTATTATTATTAAATACTACATATACAGCGTGTCGGTACAACCGCGACAATAAATGAGCACACATATAGAGGATAACTTTTTAAAATTGTATTAAACATTTACATTCTTTAAACATCACTATTCACCGAGTTATTAAATTTTCCAAAACAAACAATTTAGAACATCCTGACGTATAAAACTGTAAAATAAAATTCGAACTCACAAACCCCGGCGTTGAAGCCAGTAGCTTATCAACTGCTCAATCGCGTCAGCTTTTACGGTATCTGAGGAAATTATATCAATTAGAATAAAATATTTGACTCGTGTTAAATTGAGATAGTAATTAATTAACGTTAAGTAAAGTATCAGCCTATACATATCCCACTGCTGGGCCAAGGTCTCCTCTGTACAGAGGATATCAGGGCATAGTTCACCACACGGATCCACCAGGCTTCACACATCTTCGAAATATTTTTTTTTATTATTATTTTGAAAATATGCAGGTTTCCTCACGATGTTTTCCTTCACCGCTGAGGAAGTAATAATTCGGCACTTAAAATTAGCAATTTCATTGGTGCCGGCACCGGGAATCGAACTCAGGTTGCTCGAGTGTATTGAATTAAAGGCGAGCGCCCGGACACTGGGCTATCACAGCTCATTAATTAACTTTGCGTATCATTAAATTGCATTGCATATTAACAATTAACTAACCGCGACTACGTTTGCAATATTGCGATTGCAAATGGGGTAAGAAACGACAAATTATCTTATTCTATGCTAATAGCAGGCAAAGTTCAGGTATTCCTGCTTTAATGAAGGGTCCTTCGGTGTCGAGCACGAGGGTTCACAGGGTTATCGGTGCGCTTGGAGTACAATGGAACCAATTTGTTGGGTCGACGGGTATTGCTACACCGTTTGTCTACTACACTACTTCTGGACGGTCTGTCTGGACTTTCATTAGCGTCATCAGTAGCGCCTCCTTACTTCACTGTCTGAATACAACCCCTGGGTGAGATTCACAAAAGAGACGACGAGTACAGCAAATTTATCCACAAATCGTTAACATTATGTGGGTGTTAAAATGACTTAAATAAGCGGCTACTATGTGATTTCCTCATACGGCCAGCAGTGAAGGACCACGTCTCGGTTCCGTAGGTCATCCCTGGCAACACACATTGATCACATCCTTCACTGCTGGCCGTATGAGGAAGCTCAAAGTCGCTCAGCGAGCTATGGAGCGGGCTATGCTCGGTATTTCTCTGCATGATAGAGTTCGTAACGAAGACAACCGCAGTAGAACTAAGATAAACGACATAGCTCAGAGGATTAGCAAGCTGAAGTGGCGATGGGCCGGCCATATAGCTCGTAGAACCGATAACCGTTGGGGAAGAAAGGTTCTCGAGCGGCAGCCTCGTACTGGCCATCGCAGTGTAGGACGACCCCCCACTAGATGGAGTGACGACCTGTGCAAATGTGCGGGAAGTCGATGGATGCAGGTGGCTCAGGATCGTACTTCGTGGCAGTCTATGGGGGAGGCCTATGTTCAGCAGTGGACTCAAATAGGCTGAAATGATGATGATGATGATGTGATTTGTATTATTTTTATTATGATGATTGATTATTAGATAACCTTTTTTTTTGTTATGTGATTTACACGATTAATATAAGAATAGTCTAGCTCGTGAACATGATATCTGTGAAAAAAGACTGTATATGCGACTTGAACAGTAGCCGTGGCCCACTTTAATAAAAGGTGACTACGCCATCCGCAACCCAACGGGTGTTGCTAATGTCAATGGGCCGCGGTTGTCACTTACCATCGGGTGAACCGTCAGTTCGCTTGTCTTTTTTTTATCTTTTTTTTATGGGGTTTTCATCAGCTCGCTTGTCAATTTCTCACGTAAAAATGCTCGTTGCGAAGCTTCGATATGCGATGATTGTTGTGTACGTCAGTCTGTTTTATGTCAAATAAATCACTCTCTTTCCTTCTTTCGTTCTAAAATAATCGATTAGGCGTCAGACGTACTATCGCCGGTCGGCTTGCGTGCGGCCGACGGCCGGCTCGAGCGATTAAAGTAAGACAAGAGTCTTACTTTTATTGCCTTTATCGTTGTGATGCACGAATAGCGCTGTAAAGTATGAAAGCGCGTGAGACCGCGGGGGAAATGCTCCGGATTTGCATAGAGAGAACGATCGCGCGGCCGTATTCGCTAATTGTCTCCACAGCGGACTGTTAACGACAAAATGACCATAACGGCGAATGAAAAACTGGAACGATGGAAGGCAATTAAACTTTTTGCACTGCGTATGTATGTCCGTACTTATGTATATATTATATTCTAGTAAAATGTTGTAAATCAGGCCTTGTTGAAGAGGATGAATAGTATGGCAATGAAGATAAGAAATGTAGGTATATATAACAAGCCATGTGCACTACATACATAGCAAAAAAGCCTATCGTTCCATACAAACAAAACACCAAAACACTGAAGCCCACGAGATTAGAGTTATCTTTTTAGGGTTCCGTACACAAAGTATGCAAAAACGTATGCCCGTACGCAAAACGGGACTCTATTACTAAGACTTAGCTGTCTGTCTGTCTGACCGCTATAACAACAAATACTAAAACACAGATTAAAAAATATTTAAATAGGGCTCCCATAAAACAGAAATGATTTTTTCCCTTTTTAAAGATAATGGTAAGACAATGGAACCCTTCGTGAGCGAGTCCGACTCGCACTTGGTT